GTAACACAATAACGACTAATGATTTGCTTGCTCCTTTGCCCCCTTCTTCCTATATTATAAGAAAGAACAACGTGTACTGAATGTTGCAGGAATGTATGGCTCATGATATATCCTCATACATTTCCTCCACCTCATCATCGGGGTGGGTCGAAGTTATATTCAGCGAATACCGTTTGAATATTCAACCTTCGACGAGAAACCCTCGTTTTTAATCACTTTGTTAATGAGAGATTTGTGGTAGGTAATCCGTGTATATATTATTACATAATTATATATTATAACAAACAAATTAGTTTTAGCCTTTTATAGTATTAGTAACACAGGACATGAGATAAAGCAAATGAGAATTAATTATGGAATCGATAACATAATTATATTCAATTAGCTCTGTTATAAAACTATAAATCTTCGATAAAAATGCTGTCAACACAATTAAGACTCATTCCTATGCATCGATCCATAATTTTCAGCGTCACTGTCTTCCAAGCGGTTTTTAGGTTTGTCTGTGTGAAGTGAAGTCAAGTGACATAACTGTCTCATTACTAATGAAAAACAAAACCAACTTTAAATATCTCGCTCTTTATTCATTTTATAATTGATTTTCAGGAGTTCCCTAAGTATCTCCATTGGTATTTAATACAGGACCACATGGGAAGCACCAGCTGTCAAATAAAAAATTAATCATCAAAACCGGTACGCCCATTCGAAAGTTCTGAGGTAACAAACATAAAAGAATACAGTCTAATTGAAAACCTCCTCCTTTTTCCTAGTCGGTTGAAAACCCACACGAAACGTTCGTTTGCTTCAAGTGAGGTAGCCGGGCCCCCTTTTAATGGTGAGGTTTTGTAGATGACATCAGGTGAACCATCTCGTTTGTCAACTTTTCACGTAACAAACACCTGACATTCACAACCTCGATTTAACCAAATTAATGATTTCTTATCTGTAGGTCAAAACTACGCATCACGTGAAATGTAATAAATATTTACGTTGCAAAGTTCTTCTGATAATTTGAAAGGAAACGTTATTTGTAGAAAAAAAGGAACGAAAAGTTTTTCGCCGCTGTGGGAATCGAACCCACGTATACGGGACGCCCTGACGCTCTAGCCACTAAGCTAAACGGCTGATTGCCACACCGGCGAAATTCTCAACGTCCTTAATCTACATTGCTTTTATAGCATTTGTAGCAATGCATTTTAATGTTTAATCATATTACATAAATATATTTTAAAAAAACCTGTGACGCTCGGCGACTGCCGCGGTAAAGCTATTACATAGCATCTTTTATCAACTTATGCAATTATAATTATTTATTTATTTTTTATTTATACAGTATTCTTTTTCTTTGATATTTATATTTATATTAATAAATAATAATATTTTTAATAATATAATTATTAATATACAGCGTGTCGTTACAACCGCGACAATAAATGAACACACATATAGAGGATTACCTATTAAAATTGTATTAACCATTTAGCGAGTTATTAAATTTTACAAAACAAACATTTTACCTTATGTATAAAACTGTAACTAATTAATATAAATATAAATTAATTAGTTTTTTGAAAAATATGTTTTTTTAATTATGGATTTTTTAACGTTTGATATTTTTTTATGATCATTGGCAAGTAGCGTTAGACGTGTGTTCATTTATTGTCGCGGTTGTAACGACACGCTGTATAAGGGGCCCCCGTTTCGCTGGGGGACTTGCTACGTGGGTAATCCGGCACAGCACTTAAGTGGTTTATTGCGTTAATGTTACGCAATTCGTTATATAAAACCTTTTGATGACTCCGTGGCGCAGTCGTCAAGGTGTTGGCTTCGGCGTCGGGGGTCGCGGGTTCGATTCCCACACGGGACTATTCGTGTGACCCACTGATAGTTGTTTCGCATCTGAGTGCTTGTCGGCGTGATATTTATGTTCGTAACAACGTCCTTACAACACAGGATAATGTTATCCCGTGTTGTAAGGAATGCACGTTAAGTAAGGGCATTGTTTTTAAATACAAATTAATACTTACAAACAAGACGTGCCGATGCGGCGTGGTGTTTGGCGTCGCGTGCTCGTAAGAAATCGCCTCTTTAGACGCTGACAGACACGCAAGCAAGCGCAATTTTCGTTTTAGCCTATTATTCAACAATTACCGCTTCCTAAGAAAAACCCTCCAACAACACGCGATCTACATTAATTAAACAGCACTCACTTTATATACAGCGTGTCGTTACCATCGCGACAATAAATGAACACACATATATAGGATAACTTTTAAAAATGGTATTAAACCTTTACATTCTTTAAAAATCAATATTTAACGAGTTATAAAATTTTCCAAAACAAAGAATTTTAAAACATCCTTACGTATAAAACTGTAACGTAAAGTTCATTTGGAAAGGTCACAAAGTATATGAATGGGTTGAATGAATTTAAAAGAGACAAAACATACTGTTAGAAGGAGAGGCTTGTAATGCGACGCTGTGGCGCGAGTTGTATAGGATGTTACAAATTTTGTTTCTTTTTTACTTAATTAGTTTGTTTGAAAAAAAAAATGTTTTTAATTATGGATTTTGTTTAACGTTAATATTTTTTTTGATTATTGGTAAGTAGCGTTAGACGTGTGTTCATTTATTGTCGCGATGGTAACGACACGCTGTATATATAATTCTTGTATACGTATGTATGTCACTGAACTCCTCCTAAACGGCTGGAACGATTTTAATGGAAATTTTTGTTGGGTCTTCAGGTCGATTCGAGAATGATTTAGACTCACAATTCGGGCCACTATATTTTATAATTTATAAATTTCTAAGTTATTAAGAATATTTTTTAAATTTCTAAGTTGTCGAATTTAAGTCGTCCGCTAGTATGTAGTACGATGATCACCGTTTAGACGTGGTACGATTTTGATATGTTGCAAGTTGCGGCCGGAATGCAAAAAGCGCAATACAAGCACTTCATAAAAGATAACTGAATTTAAAACATTGCAAAAACCAATTGAACTTTGACCTTACTAAAGGGCTTCTATTGAATTTTTTATACTTAAACGCATTTTTGGGTGAGTTCCCAATTTTCCTTTATGAGATTTACTTTGTTTTATCGAGCTAAGAAGGTAGAAATATAAATATTTTTGTCAAATCAACGTATTTTTACTCTGTACAACTATGACTGGTATAATTACTTATTTTCTTTTAGACTGTCGCGTATACCATGTTCTTGTTGACAGCCAAAAAATACCATAAAATGCCTCGTGCAGCTTTATTTATACCACATAGAATGACACTTCCTTTAGTGTTGCCAACACCTTTTTTATACATCAAAGTATAATATACTAGCCGCTGCCCGCGACTACGTCTGCGTAGAATAGGCTGAAGGCGTAACGTTCAGACAGAAAGACAGATATACATGAAAATATTTATATAAATTATAGCCTGTCTTATTCTGATGTATACTATAACTATATTATTGTAAAGTTTCATTAGAATCCATTCAGTAGTATTTGCGTGAAAGAGTAACAAACATCCATCCATACATACAAACTTTCACGTTTATAATATTAGTAAGGATGTCTCGCTGCATTATTAGGGTATAGTCCACCACGCGACCCCCTGCAAATTGGCGGACTTCGCATATCTTCGAAATATTTTTTTTTTTTTGCGAACCGCCGAGCACGTGATAAGTCAGCACTTAAGATTAAAAATTTCATTGGTGCCTGCATCGCGGATTAAACTCAGCACAGATAAAGAAACAATTCAGAAAAATAGAAACCGTTTGTAAATTAAGGTAAATTTTGGTACTTACAAGTTTTCGCGAAAATCTAAATTTGCCCATATCTTTTTATCGTGTTTGCTCAGGACCAGTTGATTTTTATACACCTAACAGGGACTATAACCCCAGTTTTTCTGGTATAATTTCAACTTGCTAGGTCCATCCGTTCCTGAGAAAATCGCTGGTGGTTATTTAGCAATTTCATAATGGCGGTATAATGGGTAGGTACGGAAACCTCGGGTTACGAGTTCGACTTGCACTTGACCGGTATTTTTTTTTCAATTCGAAAAAGAAATCAACTTACGTGTGTTCTTATTAGATAGATAGATAGATAGATAGATAGATTTAATCTTGTAAATATTAGATCACTGACGAATTGAAATGACTTCCAACTTTTTACAGTTATACTAATAACTCATTCATCGGTTTCAAAATAAATTATTTATTGAAAAACATACGTGTGTTGAATCGCATTATGTATATGTCCATAAAAGTTTGTAGCATATAAACCGATACGAGTTCTACGTTAACAACATGAAAAAATACCACCGAATTGAGAGCGTCCTCCATTTTTGTACTGAATTCCGTTAAAATCAACCGACGCTTTTAATTGGACTATAATCGCTTCCGTTGCACCTCGATCGCTCACAAGCCGTTTAATTTCATTTAGGAAGAGTCGTTACCTGTTCTTATATCGTAAACCTTGTGTTTTTGTGTTTGTGAGTCGTCATAATACTATTATATAACATCAGGTCAGTTTTATAAATATTTCCACATGTACAGCGGTCGAAGAAATTGGTCTATATTTTTTTTAATTTTAAAACATGGCAAGCTAGCTGGCTGGAAACTGTTAAACTTGAACACCGCTATGCAGAACCGTTAAATGTGTCACAGACAAATAGCTTCTATAATTATAGGTTTATCAAAAAGACTAACGCCCGGTTTCCGAAACACTGATCATCGAAGTTAACTAATCGACTGTCAAATTCTTTTTCAAATTTTATTTATGCTGCCAAAAGGATGTTCAAGCTCTGAATTGACGAAAAATAATGAAAACTTTTTAGTTTAACCATAATAAATAAATTCTTGAACTCGTGTAATTATAACTAATTTTGTTTGTTGTTCGAAACGCCAGGGACTGATAACAGGGCGAAGTTGTCGTTAAAAGGCCTGTTGTAACCGGGCGAAATTGAAGCGGGGAACTCCAGAAGCTGGCAAGACGGAAGCCAAGATGCGCCGTCTACTGGTGGTATTACTGCTGCACGCGGCGTCAGGGGTCCTGTACGACACCTTCCATGGTCGCCCCGTCGCGGAGCCCAAGCCGATGAGGAACGCCACCGTTGAGTTGACCGACCAGATGCGGTTCTTCTTCGGCATTCGACCGTGAGTCATCGTCATTTAACTGTGGCGGGGCCACGCAGCAGCCTCGGTGGCACGAATGGGCGGGCCCGTCCGGGTAAGTACCACGACCTCGCAGAAGACCGGCGTAAAGTGGAAGTATAATACTTTCGCGTTTCGTCTGGTGAGTGAGGTGGCCGGAGCCCAATTTACAAAAGGTTGTTAACGCATCTGTTACCTTCGGGTGTAGCAGATGTCCATGGGCGGCGGTATTCACTTGACATCAGGTGAACCGCCTGCTTGCTTGGCCACTTTTCACATAAAAAAAGAAGAAATCATTTCGGCCTGTTGGCCCGAATGGCGTAATGGGTAGTGTACCTGCCTCCTGCGCCAGAGGGTGTGGGCTCGATCCCCACTACTGGAAAAATATTGTGTGATGAACATAGTGTTTTTCTAGTATCTGGGTGTATATATATGTATAATATGTATATATTTACAAAAGAAAAGTATTTTTAAGTATGTTTATCAGTTTTCTAGTACGCATAGTACAAGCGTTGCTTAGTTTGGGACTAGAGAACGTTGTGTAAAAATGTATCCTGATTTATAATTTATTGTTTGAGTCCACTGCTGGACATAGGCCTCCCCCACACTGCCACGAAGCACGATCCTGAGCCACCTGCATCGACTTCTCGCACACTTTCACAGGTTGCATTTGCAATAAGTACGCGAGTAGTCGGATGATTTCATACACAAAAACACGAGTACAAAATAGGCTTTATTTCATATCAATTTGACGGTAGAAACTGTTCCAAGGAATCACTTGATGGTAAGCGAGAATCTATTGTATGCTGTCGTCACGTCACCACCTTTAATTGTAATGACACTAACGAACAGTAGATAAATCCAAGGAGTCAACAACTGAGGTTATTTGCTCCTAGCTACCTCGCTGACTGGATAAAACTTAAAAAGTATAAATACTTACTTTTAATTTTCTCCGATCTTTTGTAACGGCGTTCCGCCTTGGTTCAGCCGGCTTGTTCGTGCATTGCCTAGATCTTTTTTCAAAGTATTTCTCCCTTCACTACTATAGTTAGTGGTAGGAGCACGCAACAGTGTTCACTGTTGCACGAGCGGGCAGGTCCGTCCGGGTAAGTGCCACGACCTCACAGACCGGCGTGAAGTGGAAGTGTTATTCTTCTGGTGAGTGAGGTATCCGGGGCCCACTTTATTCATAGGTGCCAACGCATTTTCAACCGTACGCAGATGTTGCAAATGTCCATGGGCGGCGGTTATCACTCAACATCAGGAGAACTGCCAGCTCGTTTGCCACTTCCTCACATAAAAAAAGATAAATAGGAGCGGACGCGTGTCCACCCGCAGGTGGTGCACCGTGGACATTCCTGAATGCTCTCCAACTGAGACGAGACGCGTCGATGGCTCCTGCAACAGCCTGAGGTTCCCGTCGCGCGGCGCCGCCATGACGCCGTACCAGCGGCTGCTGCCACCAGCCCACGCGGTCGACGGCGGGCCCCGGACCGCCAGATCCGGCCTGGAGCTGCCCAACACGAGATCCCTGCGCACGGCCCTCGTGCCAGACGGGCGGGTCCACAGCAAGCGCTATACGCAGCTCATCACCTATCTGCTCCTCATCATGACCTCCGACGTCACTTCCCTCCACGACACGGTGAACTACGTGGTGTTCACCACCACCTGCTGCGCACCAGGGGGTGAGAGCAACCCCCTGTGCATGCCGATACCAGTCGCGGACGACGACCTCTACCTCAGGCTGAGCGACGTCCGTTGTCTGAACTTGACGAGGGCCATCACGTACCAGAGGCTGGGCTGCGCGCCGAACACTCTGCCACCCGAGAGGGTAAGTCGATTGAAAAACGGCACACAAAACAATTCCGGTGAATTTGGTACCTTTTTTTTATGCGACTAAGTGGCAAACGAGCTGGCGGTTCACCTGATGTTAAGTGATGACCCTCGCCCATGGATATTTGCAACACTTGTAAAGGTCGCAATGCGTTGCCACCTGTTAATAAAGTAGGCCCCGGCTACCTCACTCACCAGACGAAACGCGGAAGCGTAAAACTTCTACTTCACGTCGGTTTTCTGTGAGGTCGTGATACGAACCCGGACGGACCTGCCCATTCGTGCAATTGCGTGGCCAAAGTTTACGCGAGAATCTAAATTTGTCCATGTCTTGTAATCGTGTTGACTTAGGAACTCTATTTTTATGCACCCAAAGTCCCTATTAGAGGATGTTCCAACGCTTAATAGGGAATATAGACCTCAGTATCTGGTATAAATTTCAACTTGCTCGGACCACCCGCTCCTGAGAAAAACCGGTGGTGTCACACGGACAGATGGAGGAGAGGGTTATAAGGGTTATTTTTTTCTACCTTTTGAGGTACGGAACACAAAAAAGGTTATCATTATATACAGATTTTAAGTTTATGATACCGATTGACAGATACATGGTAACAAGTAACACTCATATCGAAAGCCTTAATTTAATTTCTCTGAGACTAACTGCTCAGTTTATTAGCTGTCAACGAGTTATCCCTGGACGCCACCAGTACGAACCGGACTAATTTGGCCAGCATTTTGGGGACCACATACCAAAGACTAACACCTACTTAACGTCGATCTTACCTCCAGTCCTTGACTTACCACATGCGTATTTTGTTTTTATTTTTAACATTCCCCTTACTTTTAACATTATCCTGTATTGGAAGGACGTTTTACAAACAGTAATTCCGGCGGACGAACACCAAGATGCGAAACAACTGCCTGTGGGTCACCCAAATAGTTGCCCCGTGCGGGAATCGAACCCACGACCCCAATACATCGGCAACTGCCAATACACTTAAGTAATCATCATCATTTCATTTCACCCCGATTGAGTCCACTCAACACAGGCACAGACCACTAAGCACTATGCCACCTGCATCCATCGACTTCCCGCACACCAACACAGGTCGTCACTCCATCTAGTGGGATGATGATGATAAAGATGAACGCATTGTTCCTCACCAGATCAACACCTCGCCACCGATGCTGGATTTGTCCAGCTTGTACGGGAACGACAAGCCAAGCGCCGACCGCTTCCGTCGTGGTGACGGCGGCCTCGTGCGCTCCGACGTCATCCGTGGCAAGGAGTGGCCGCCAAACGGAAGTCCGGTCTGCCTCCTCAACCAGCTGCCACGGGAGACCCGTTGCCACGACGCTGGTAAATATTTTTTTAATCCAAAACTGACCAGCACTTGACTGCTCCTGATGGTAAGTGGCGATGCAGCCATTGATGGTAAGCGAGCTGGCTCAGCAAAAAACCTATTCACTCTTGCCTTGAAGACGCCTACATTGTAATCGGACGGAAAGACGGACGCCGGCAGGTTATACAGCGTGTCGCTACCACCGCGACAATAAATGAACACACATATAGAGGATAACTTTTTAAAGTTGTGTTAAACATTTACATTCTTTAAACATCAATATTTACCGAGTTATAAAATTTTCCAAAACAAACAATTTTAGAACATCCTTACGTATAAAACTGTAACGTAAAGTTCATTTGTAAATGTCACAAAGCATATGAATAGGTTGAATGAATTTAAAAGAGACAAAACATACTGTTAGAAGGAGAGGCTTGTAATGCGACGCTGTAGCGCGAGTTCTATAGGATGTTACAAATTTTGTTTCTTTTTTACTTAATTAGTTTGTTTGAAAAATATTTTTTTTTTATTATGGATTTTGTTTAACGTTAATATTTTTTTTTGATTATTGGCAAGTAGCGTTAGACGTGTGTTCATTTATTGTCGCGATGGTAACGACACGCTGTATAAATATACTATATTATACAGAACCGTGTTCTAATGTCAAGAAAGCCACTAAAGCGTGGTTTCTTTGGGTTTCCGTACCCAAAGGGTAGAACGAGACTTCATTACTGAATTTCCGTCTGTCTGTCTGTCCTCGTGGTTTTCTTGGGGTTCCGTACAAAGCATAAAACGGGACTCCATTACTAAGACCCTGCTGTCTGTCCGTCTGTCACCAGGCTGTATCTCATGAACCGTGACAGTTAGATGGTTGAAATTTTCACAGATGATGTATTTCTGTTGCCGCTATAAAGACAAATACTTACTAAAAATGGAATAAAAAAACACTTAAGTAGGCCTCCCGTACAAGAGCCGTTTTTATAGATAATGGTACGGAACCCTTCGTGGGCGAGTCCGACTAGCACTAGGCCGGTTGTTTCTACGTTAAAAATGGGTGAAAAAGGTTATGGTTCATGATGTTGAGTGACTAACGGCGTCCACAACGTGTGGCTTTAACAATTTCAACCCATGTTCGAATCCCGACAACGGTCACCGAGTCATCTTTTTGGAATTTTATTTGTCACGAACGTAAACCACGTTAATAATCTTTCCTGAAAGGCCGGCAACGCATTTGTAAGCCCTCTGATGCTGCAGGTGCTCGTGGACGGTGACCACTTACCATCGGGTGAACCTCCTGCTCGTTTGCCCCTTTACTCTACAAAAAACAAGTTCATTTTTACCGACCAAAAACAAAACCGACTTAAAATATCTCGCTCTTCAAGCATCTCCGGAGCCCGAGGTCTAATACTAATGAAATTAATACGGGACCACATAGGGAGCACTGTCTGTCAAATAAAAGAGAATCATCAAAATCGCTGCACTCGGTCGAAAGTTCTGAGGTAACAAACATAAAAAAAAATACAGTCGAATTGAGAAGCCCCTCTTTTGCAAAGAAGCGTTACCTTCTCTGCCGCTCTCAACTGTGGGCCGACTGAAACCGAATTCCAGGGAACCCGGCCATCAACAGCCTCCCGGGGATCCAGCTTCTGGGCCTGTGGCAGCTGAGGAGCCACAACCAGATAGCGAGGACCCTAGCGGAGATGAACACCTGTTGGGGCGACGACCGGCTGTTCGCCGTGGCAAGGGACATCAACATCGCTTACTACCAGAACGTGGTCTACTACGAGCTGATGCCCACCGTGATGGGTATCTATACATACGTTTTTTTTTATGTGAAACTAGTATTAAAGACTGTAGGTTGGTCGGCTAAAATAAAATAGTGATGATAGCGTAAACAACTTTATATATTAATTAGACTACTTCGTACTTATTAGGACAGAGTAACGTCCTATACAAATGATAAAGTGTTCTACCCTATCACTGAAACATTATGCGCTTATATACAAAAATATTGTTATGAACACACAAAGGAACTAACGCCATCTAGCGTCAACTATTAAAACCACTAAAGAACAAAGACGACATAAAACCCCCTATTCAACACTAGATGGCGTTAGAGGAACAACTGTGGAACTCTAGTCTCGAAAACCGGGTACATTCGCGAACTTTCCGGAATCACGTACATGTTCGCGCGTGTCGGGTACGTTCCAGGAAGGAACTTTCTGGAATAGTCTGGGGCTCGTCTCGGCCCATATAAAAAGCCACAGAGAGGCGAAACAACTCAGTTCAGTTTGAGCTACCTTCGAGGCGACTTCGGAGTGAAAACTAATGATCAAGAGCGATACCAGTGAAACCTACGACTTTGCTACAAAATAGGACATCGTTAGTGCTTAGTGATTGGACCTAGTGCTTAGTGTTGGACCTAGCGCTAGTGAATAAAGTCTTCAAAAGAGTCAGCAGGTCTTTCTCTCCAAATCCTTCGAACCCCTAACACGTAACAACTGGTGTCAGAAGTGGGATTTGGAGATGTTATTGAATCCGAGAGAGGACTTCAAGGAGGGTGTCAGGACAAGGGCACGAGCTGCGGAGGCCACACCCACTGGGGACCAAGCCCCACCCACTGTGGGGCAAGCCCCGCCCACTGCCCCCACCGACCACGCCCCTCAGACTCCGCCCATTCAGGCCCAAGCCTCGCCAACTCGGGCCCAAGCTCCGCCCACTTTGGCACAGGCCCCGTCCACTCCGGTTCAGGCCCCGCCCACTTTTGTGCAAGCACCGCCCACTCACTCCACCAACCGGGCCACGCCCACTGGCCCCGCCTACCTTGCCACGCCCACCAGCGGCACCGTAGCTTCTGCAGCCCCTGAAGTGGCTCTTCAATTAGGATGTTTAATTAAATTAATGGAGCTGCAAAGGGCTGAAATTCAGGCAATGAAGGAGTCACAAGAACGCAAGCTCAGCGCGTTGCAAGAGTCACAAGAACGCAAGCTAACTACGATTCAAGAGTTGCAAAAGGCTGAAATCAGAGCGATTCGAGAATCACAAGAGCAACAAAAAGACCTCCAAGAAAAAGCACTTTGGGCTATAAGTGATGTTAGTAACACGGTGATTAAGCTTCGAAAAGATGTCGACGCAGTGGAAGAACGAGTTACCGGGTTAGGGTTGGATGTTGAAAATGTGAAAACCGGCCTCACTGAACTACAGAGAAAAGTAGTGCGCCTTGAAACCACAGGAGTTGCGATGTCTAGTGGAACTACCGGAGTGGCGTAAGGACCAAGAGTGAAAGTGCCGCCATACGACGGCACTACTTCTTGGCACGCTTATCGTCGGCAATTCCCAGACTGTTGCTACTGCCAACGGATGAACGGAAGAGCAATGCCTGACCGCTCTCACTGTTGCGCTCAGAGGGCAAGCTTTGTCGGTCCTGGAAGCACTGCCACATACAGGAAATGGGTTCCAAGACCTGATGGAGGCACTTGAATCCAGGTACGGGGAGCGACACCTGGAGCACGTGTTCCGTGCCCAACTGCGTGACCGAGTCCAACGCTCAGGAGAAGGACTACAACAATGGGTGTTGGAAATTGAAAAACTCGTCAGGAAGGCACACCCAGGAGCCGACACCAAGATGGTAGACACTAATATTATTCAAGCATTTGTGGACGGAATCAAAGACCTGGAGGTCAGAGCTGCAGTGAGGCTTCGTCACCATACCTCGCTAAAGGAGGCATTGGCGCACGCTTTGGAGGTCGAGGCTGTTCACTATGACATACGGCAGACCCATAGGATCTGCGAGATCTCTGAGGAACTCAAGGGGGTTAAGGCTCCTACGAAGAGAAGTTCTGGGCCCATGTGTTACAAGTGTGGCAAAAGGGGCCATCTTCAGCTCAACTGCCCGCAGAAGGAGACCCAGATGGCAAGGATGAAAAGGATCGAGGAACAAATAGAGGAGCTGAAGAAGCTAGGGGCTTCACTGAAGCGAATAAAAGCCAGGACTAAGGGGCGAGTACTGGCTGACGTGGAGGAAGCTCCAGCAAACAGCAACAACTACGGATCAGTGCCTGAGCTACTCAATGACTTCAAGACGGAACACCGCAGCGGAAAGACGCATGGGAATGCCGACCCACTCTCACAAAGGCCGTGTTCGGAAGACTTCAAACATTGCATCAAGCAGGAATCTAATGAAGTAACATTAAAGCTAACGAGAACAAGTTCTTTGGGTCTCTGGGAGAATGATGCTATGAGGGAGGCTCAAGAAAGAGATGACGACCTTCGGCACATCATCGCATGGAAGAAACGGGGTGACGTAAAACCAATCTGGAGTAAGGTTGCTCCCACTGGCGCCGTCACAAAGGCGTACTGGGCGCAATGGGACAGTCTGATACTTCAAAACGGAATACTCTACCGGAAACGGGAGAAGCCTAACGGCAGAGAGTTCCATCTTCAGATAATGGTCCCAAGAACGAGATTACCAGATGTTCTCCGTGAAATTCATGATGGCGTATCAGGAGGTCATCTAGGTGTCAAGAGGACGTTAACAAAAGTGCGAGAACGATTCTACTGGTTGCATTGTCGAGATGATGTACAGGATTGGTGCCGCAAATGTACTACTTGCGCTGCTGTAAAAGGACCACAGACCAGAAGCCGTGGAAACCTGCGGTTGTATAACGTCGGTGCACCGTGGGAACGAATAGCAGTTGACGTAGCTGGGCCATTTCCTGTAACGGAATCGGGAAACAAGTATTTTATGGTCGTCATGGACTACTTCACCAAATGGCCCGAAGTATTCGCCATACCAAACCAAGAAGCTACAATGGTCGCTTCTAAGTTAGTCGAAGAAGTGATATGTCGCTTTGGTGTGCCTCTAGAAATCCATTCTGATCAGGGCAGGAACTTCGAATCGCAAGTATTCCAGGAAGTGTGTAGAATTTTGGGCATGCATAAGACGAGGACCACCGCGTACCATCCACAGTCTGATGGAATTGTTGAGAGATTTAACCAGACCCTTGAGAGGCATCTGGCGAAATTGGTAGACGACAAACAAAAGGATTGGGACAAGTATATACCATCTTCCTTCTGTCGTACCGAACCGACAAGCATGAGAGCATAAAAGCTACCCCGGCGTATGTCAATTACGGTAGAGAACTACGATTACCAGTAGACCTATTGACAGGAGGGTCACCGGAGGGACCAGAGACCGTACAAGACTATGTCTGCAATTTAAGAAAAAAATGCGCTATATACACGCCTCGGTTCGGGAAAATGGGTTACAGTCAAGTGAGAATATGAAAACCAGATAAGACCGGAAATCGGCTTCGACGAAGGATCACTGGTGTGGCTGCATAACCCAACTCGTCGGAAAGGGAAATCCCCAAAGTTGCAGACCAAGTGGGACGGTCCATACAAAGTGGTTACCCGACTGAATGATGTGACTTATAGGATTCAAAAGCAACCAAGAGGGACATTCAAAGTGGTACACATAGACCGTCTGGCGCGTTACTATGACAGTAACAATGATGCTCGGGACGAGCATCTCTAAGAGGGGAGTAGTGTTATGAACACACAAAGGAACTAACGCTAGATGGCGTCAACTATTAAAACGACTAAAGAACAAAGACGACATAAAACCCCCTATTCAACACTAGATGGCGTTAGAGGAACAACTGTGGAACTCTAGTCTCGAAAACCGGGTACATTCGCGAACTCTCCGGAATCACGTACATGTTCGCGCGTGTCGGGTACGTTCCAGGAAGGAACTTTCTGGAATAGTCTGGGGCTCGTCTCGGCCCATATAAAAAGCCGCAGAGAGGCGAGACAACTCAGTTCAGTTTGAGCTACCTTCGAGGCGACTTCGGAGTGAAAACTAGTGATCAAGAGCGATACCAGTGAAACCTACGACTTTGCTACAAAATAGGACATCGTTAGTGCTTAGTGATTGGACCTAGTGCTTTGTGTTGGACCTAGCGCTAGTGAATAAAGTCTTCAAAAGAGTCAGCAGGTCTTTCTCTCCAAATCCTTCGAACCCCTAACACGTAACAATATAATGAGTCATCACAACTACATTACAAATCAATGCACTTATTAAATTACTAATACAGTTAATAAGATCGACCTATTAAATTATAAATTATTATTAAGCATGGTTTATTACATAATATTACCAGATATGGTTCAATGTTTATTAAGTATAATTGTTATTGCTCGTATATTAAACAGTGTTGCCAGTGGATTGTAACACTAGCGAAACAAGCCAATGTAATTTAGTTTTAATTCGGCTGAATGATGCTAAGTAATATCCGTCTGTAAAATCTCTATCTCAAATTTGTTGGAACTTATCAGATAACTTGGGTTTTTCGCTTTGTAAAAGTCGCATGCCTTATCCCATTTTCCTCATCGATCTATTTCTGTCATATGATCTTTTATATAATACTAGCGACGCGCCCCGGCTTCGCACGGGTGCAATGCTGAATGTTTGTTTACGAGATCGCATTAGAAACCTTTAACAGTGTTTTTCTACTATATTATGCATGAATTATACCCTCACCCTATCTCTAAAGAAAACCGCATCAAGATCAGTTGCGTAGTTTTAAAGATCTAAGCATATATAGGAACAGACAGCGGGACGACTTCGTTTTATACTATGTAGTGAAGTTGCCTAGCGAGCAGGTGGTTCACCCGATGTTAAGTGAATACCGCCGCCCATGGACATCTGCTACATCCGAGGGTTGCAGATGCGTTGACAACCTTTTGGAAATTGGGCTCCGGCTAACCCCACTCACCACTTCCACTTCGCGCCGGCCTTCTGTGAGGTCGTGGTACCTACCCGGACGAGCCTGCCCATTCGAGGCTGCTGCGTGGCTCTACGACACACAGATAAAAACATACAAACAGATAAATAAAATTGGAGTATGTGATATTAAAATAACTGCCTTTTACTAAATGCATATTATAATAACATTATATACAACTTTTGTCTATAAGTCTCTTCGTTCCGTCTGTGAAACGCCTGGACCGAATTTGACGGGACTTTGACTGGCAGATAACTGATGTAATAAGGAGTACCTTAGGTTCACTTTTATTTAGAAATTTCATTTATTTTAAATTCCACGCGGACAAAGTCGCGGGCACAGCTAGTTTTAAAAAAATAAAATAAAATAAATATTTAGGACACATTTTTACATACGTTCTCTAGTTCAGGACTAATTAACGCTTGTATGGGCACTACGTAACTGGTAAGCATACTTAAACATACTTTTCTTTTGTAAATATTTTAAGTGCATCACTGTAACGCAAAAATAACACCTTTAAAGCTGCCCGCTAAACCGCTTATTATAGATGGCAGCATGTTCTCAATCACATTCGCCCGTTACATTTCTCAACAAAGAATGTAGATGGCGCTTTCATAATTTCAAAATTTTTATATTATATATCCTTTTCCAGTATTTTTATTATTTTATTGTATTCAATTATTTGCATGCAATTAAAAACTATTTTTTAATTATCCCAAAGAAGTATGACTTCTCACGCGCGTTCTTAACTACACGCACACATTTCTTTTTTAATTATATTTTTTAATTATTATATTTTTAAATACATATTTGATACATAGTACAAGCGGCAATTTTCTCAAACAGTTGGCAACCCTAGGCCCCACCCTTTTATTTGATACATAGTACAAGCGGCAATTTTCTCAAACAGTTGGCAACCCTAGGCCCCACCCTTTGCGACTTTCCCAACAGCTAGGGAGCTTTCCAGGTCACGACGTGCTGCTGAGGAACAGGGTGATATACGAGGGCCACGGCCACGTGGACGACTACGACGACTCTCTGGAGCCGAGGGTCAGCATCGAGTACGTCATCGCCACCAGGTGGTTCCACAGCATCCAGGAGGGGCGTCTCCAGTGAGTGGTCAACATAAGATGGCGTATACATAAGTAGTATTATTTATTATTTTATTATATGTAGTAGTATAGTGTATACATAAGATGGCGGCACGAACACAGTCTTTTTCTAGTCTCTGCGTCTTTATATATATATATATATATATATATATATGTATTATGTATTTATTTAGAAAAGAAAAGTATGTTTAACTATGTTTATCAGTAACATAGTATCCACAGTACAAGAGTTGCTTAGTTTGGGACTTGAGAACGTTTTGTAAAATGTCCTGAAATATTTATTATTATTATTTTTCCTTATTCTCCTTCCTACCTTTAACCCACTTAGGAGGAGGACAATATGATTGTGTACAATTTAAATACATTTAAAGGGACATTTAAAGATATTTATGCCGCCATCTTATGTATACACTACAAAACTAAAACATTAAAATTATAAAAATAAAAACTCGAAGAATAATGTTAAAAAAATAGTACCAAAAAGAACCGGCCCAGTTCAAGTTGGAAAAGGTGTTATTCAAAACGCACAATAGGTTCCTTTTTTCCCTTTGGGTACGGAACCGCATTTTTGCGTTAGTTCATACTATGATTATATACAAATGTGTTTTTTATATCATATATCGATATTTTCAGTCGATTTACTTGGATCCGATATATTTATATATCGAAACAACAAAATATTCAACATCGAAAATCGTATCATAAACGAAATTCGAATCCGGCGCAGAATCCAGAGATGTCTAATATTTAATACTATACCTGTATTATATCGCTATTTTCTCTTCGATATATCGATAAAGTATAAAATATTTGACACCTACCGAGTCTGTGTAATACCTACATCGATATTTTCTCTTCGATACATCGAGGCCGATATTGATGTTTTTATAAATCCATACTAATATTATCAATGCGAAAGTAACTGTCTGTCTCGCTTTCCGCTTTCAAAACTACTGAACCGATTTAAATGAAATTTGGTACACAGATAGTCTAGAGCCTGAGAAAGGACATATGCTATTTTTTAATTGGATAAAAGTGTTGTAAAGGGTTGAAAGATATTTATTTAAAGGCTTCAACGCGAGCGAAGCCACGGGCGAAAAGCTAGTATCGATATATTTCTTCACTTTTGACATCCCTTAATTGCCTGTGCGCTCTCATTTACGTAATAGCTTAAACAAATCGATGATAAGCTTAACAAATCGATATTAAGTCTGCCGCTTCACCAATTTAAACGTAAAATTAAAAGTCAACTTATGGTTAAAGCATATTACACCATTACGGAATATCTCGACGACGCCAATGTGTGGAGTTAATACGGTTCATACTCACGTAGGCTAGAATAAGACTATTAAACCTGTATGTTATATTGTAAACTGATACTTTTGAAAAAGAGCAACTGTTGAGTTTCTTGCCGGTCTCCTCTCAACAGAAACTGCTTTCCGAACCGGTGGTACCTTACGAACCCACATACATAATTTTTGATGTAAAATCTGACGATTCATAAGAGCGCGCAAGCGTCTATTTGAATAAATATATTTTTGATTTGTAAATTTGATTTTGAATGACTCCTTCTAGAATGTTCGACAACAAGGGCAGGCTGGTGAACGAGCTGCCAATGATGGACTACATCCTCCGTTCGGGGGCGTTCTTCAACAACAGCACAATAGACGGGTTTACTCAAGGGTCGTTCAGGCAGCCGTGCGCCGACAACGACTACCTGGTGGACCCGGAGGTCAGACGTCTATTTTTTTATAGAACTACCCAGCATCATCATCACGCCATCCAGTAGCCTGGATATTTTTTTTAAGTGAAAAGTTGCCAAGCGAGCATGCGGTTCACCTGATGTTAAGTGAATATCGCCACCTATGGACATCTGCTACACCCGAGGGTTGCAGATGCGTTGACAACCTTTTGAAAATTGGGCTCGGCCACCTCACTCACCAGACGAAAAGCGAAAGTTATATATTTCCACTTGACGCCGGTCTTCTGTGAGGTCGTGGTACTTTCCCGGACGGACCTGCCCATTCGTCCAACAGCGAACACTATTGCATGGTCCTACCACAGTTAACTAATCAGCTGTCAAATGGCTTTTCAAATGTCATTGAGTTGCCAAAAGGATGGTTAAACTCTTTTAAAATGATCATTTAGAATATCATTCTGATGAATTCTATCTAATATCGATATATCGATAAAAAATTCGATACATCGACATATCGATATATTTGTTCACTTACGACATCCTTAAGTTATCCGACCGCCAGGTGGGCGAACGCATCCTGGGCCCCCTGCAGCGGGCCTCTGACGTCACGGCCAGTGACGTAAAGAAGGGCCGCGACGTGGGCCTCCCGGCGTACAACCGGTACCGCGAGTACTGCGGGCTACCAGTTGCCAGGAGCTTCGACGACCTGTACAGCTGGATGCCGAAAGACGTGAGTATTGGGGTCTGCACAGCATCACAGGAGGTCAGGGCAATAGTGGCTGTTGACTAGATGACTAAGGTCATATCATGGATGCCGAAAGACGTGAGTATTGATAGCTCAGAGGAAGACATACAGAGGAAGTCTGTACAGTTTCACAGAAGACCGGGGCAATAGTGTTTGGTGACTAAGGTCATATCAGGTTCACTGTGGTAAAGACACAACAGCTAACGGGCAGCCTCGTCCGAGGAAGTACAACGGTTTCACAGAAGATGCGTTGCCACCCTTTCATAAAGTGGGCCCCGCATCACTCACCAGACGAAACGCACAAGTGTAACACTTCCAACTCACGCCGGTCTTCTGTTAGTTCACGGTATTTACCCGAACGGACCTGCCCTTCATGCAAGTGCCGAAGCTGTTGCGCGCCCTTAACACAGTACATTTTCTATTCGTTGTCAGCAAGTCGACGTGCTAGCGCGTACGTACGAAGACGTAGACGACGTGGACCTTGGGGTGGCCATTTTGGTTGAGAGAGCGATGCCCGGAGCGATCATTGGCCCGACCCTCGCGTGCATCATGATCGATCAGCTGCTCCGGTGGAGACGCGCAGACAGGTTCTGGTACGAGAACTCCATCCACCCAGGAGCATTCACGGCAGGTGAGATTCCTTACGTGGCTCACTGGAGTCCATAGATTCAAGCAATGCAAACGAGAACAGTTAACAGGCAACTCATTTCATTTCCATTCAAAACGGATCTGACAATGCATTAGAGATGGGCAAGTAAAAAAAATATATCGATATATATCGTATCGACATTTTAAAAAATTATCGATAATTATCGAACGAAAAATATCGATATATCGTAATTTTTCGCATGATTGTTAATACATATTTTCAAACCGGCGAAAACTCGTAAAATAGAATAGATATGAAGAAAATAGTTGAAACGAGTTTTTAAAGTTAACGATGCGCCAGGAGCATGCAAAGAATTATCTGTTAGCGTTAAACACGTAAATATAGTTGCGTAAAATACATTGACACGAGTTCGATAGTTTAAAATAAATATCGATATATCGATATATCGCGATAAAAAAGGCTTGTTATTGGCTGTTTGTCATCTAGTTTAGGGTTAGTTAGGTTTGAATAGCTGTAAGTCTTCCATATCCTAAATAAATAAATAAATAAATAAAATATCGATACTTTTTGCCCATGCCTACAACGGATCACAGAACGTACAGGACTTACCGAAAGCGGGCATCGTAAGACTGGTGCAATATTATTTTCGATGGTTATCAAACTATGTGATCAGTTGCTGAGCGAGCAGGCGGTTCACCTGATGAAATGCAAGAGAGTATAATACTTAAAGTTCACACCGGTTTTCTGAGGTACTTCTCCCAACGTGCCCGCCGATTTTTGTTGCACCTCAAGCCGCTAGGTTCTTTTGAAGTTGCCTTGATTTTTTTTTTCAGATCAACTATATGAAATAAGAAAGATCACAATGGCCCGAATAATCTGCGACCATGGCGACTCGGTGGATTCGGTGCAGCCGTTTGCTTTCTTGCTTCCGAGTCTCGGGTATGTTCCGTAGAATATATTATCCATTAAGTACTATATTAGAACGTGTATAAGAGATATATATAAATATATAGTTACAGAATAAGAGAAGCTTATAGAAAGAAAGAGAGCTTATATTATAAGTCTTATTTGTATTTGAATATTAAGCATTATTAATCTATTTCTTGTAATCTGTTATATTTCTAGCAATGAAATCGTGAACTGTTCGAGGATCCTTGCGCCAAATTTGGAAGCGTGGCGTGACCAGAGCTGCGAAAGTAATAGTAATAATGAAAATCAAAGTTTTTTTAATTATACCGATTTAACATTACCCTTTAACTTAACAAATGTAACTGATTTTTCTAATATACTTAACCAATTTATATAGAACTTATAATAGCTAAATTTCTTATTTGTATTTAATCCAAAATTTTCTTTTTATTTAGCTTTAAAACTTTTAATCGATTATGAGTATATATATTTTTTTAAATTAAAAAAAAACTGTGAAGCTACTTTTGTTACTGTTTTTATATTATATTTTTTTTTTCAAAATCGTTTGTTTATTTAAACCTTACTTCCTTAAAATTTTTCCTTACCAGAAAAAGAATATCCTGCTCCGCTCCTTAATCCAGGTCTAGGTCAGGGATGGCTTATGCGATTCAGATCGACAAAAATGGATTACTATTTACTTGATTCTAATCTATATATCTAAAAAATCATGTAGAACGAGGCAACACTGGTTTCGCGCCAAATTCTAAGTTTGCGGGAAAACGTCAAAAAGTTTTAATAAAGTTGCGAATTGTGAAGTTGTAATATTGTTAAATTGTTACATTTCTTTTGGTATTTGAAATAAATATTAAGCTTAGTGTCATTTAAATCATTATGCAATATGGCTAGAACCAAGGCATCCGTAGGTGCAAAAGGTAAGTCTTAATTATTTTTATTCTCAAAACAAACAAAGTATGTTTTTAAAATTTAGAGATGAGAGAATAATAAGCAAGTTTATGTATAAATTTACTTGATAAGTGAGTATATATCTTCGTTAATATTCTTCTAAATTATCTTCGGAATATTTTTAATTGCAATTGCAAATAACTATGTACTCTGATCTCACTCACTCATCATCACTCATCATTCATCAATGAAAATGGTGAGGAAAACTGCCCAGATTCGAAAAAATTATAAAAAGAATTTCGAAGGTTGTCAAGTCTGCCAATCCACAGTGGAGTTGCTGCATGGTAGACAATGCCCTAATATCCTTTTAAGAGTGGTTTTTATCAGTAGATAACACATAAACCACTTATTACTTCACTCCTTTGTGGCAAGAAAATATACTTTATCTGGATTTTTTTACTAACCATGTATTCATATGTATTTTGTGTGAATATAAATTAAATATACATCCATATCAGAATGATTATTACTCAGAGCTATTATTTCGCTGCAATGGGGCTAGGTCTAATTTAGGACACAATGCTCCTATTAATAGAGTAATTAAATTGTTCAACTTATTAAATAAGGAAACAGAAATGGATATTTTTGACAACAATATATCTAAATTCAGACATGTGTGGGAATCGAACCTACAACCCCGACGCCAAAGCCAATACAAAAAATGTCTGTGTCATCTAAGGATAATTGTCCTGAATCAGGATATTTGTCCTCTAGGCAAGTTGATGTCAGGCGTGTGGCCAGTAGTAAATAATTTAGTCAATATCGTAAACAACATGATTGTCAGACATGTCATATGAACCCCACTTGGTGAGGAGTGGAGAACGATGTAGACATAAATCGTTCAAGAGCCTAAAATCTATTACCTTTTTCAGTATCTTCAGGAAAGAGCAGTAAAGCAAGGTGTAGTGTTGCTCCTCCGCCTAGTAATACTGGCTCCACAGGTATAATAAACTTTTATTAGACTTATGTATTATTTGGCAAGGAAGCTAGACAGTATAGGAATATTTAAGTGAACATGTATAAGCCGGGGAGAATATAATTAAAAACTCCTTGCATATAAAAATAGATGAATGGATCTAGAAAATGAGAAAGATGTTTAATGTGGTTGTTAAACACAGCATAGCAGAAGGTGGGCTAGTTTGTATGGAAGAATACCAGCTTGCTGTGGTAGAGCTTTGCAGCATTATGCTGTTGCGCATAATGGCAGGTTCTTCCGGGGAAGTACAACAACATCATAAGACTGGCATTAAGTGGAAGTATTATACTTCTGCATTTTATCTAGTGAGTTAGGTAATTTAGGGCCTACTTTTTTAATATTTTAAGCACACACGTCTCGTCTTGTGAGAGTTGTAACCGGGGCTAACTTTATTAAAAGATGGCAACACATTTTCAACACTACAGGTGTGTAGAGAGGTGTGTAGACAACCGTCACCTATTGATATCAATAGGTGACGGTTGTCTCTCAACATTAGACAAACTGCCGGCTCGCTGCCACCTTGCCATATAATAATAGGGCTCCTTGCATTTCATGTGGTGTGTGAGGTAATTCTTCATTGGAACCACAGAGGTATTACAAATATTAATGGCCAACAATGGTCAATCAGTAAACCTTTTTTGTTTGCCGTTTGTTAGAAACCAAAGTATTTTGGAAATTGGTAATTATGGATATTTAAATATCTGTCGGGTATTCATGTTGAAAGATATGTTCTGTGCAATAGTAATATTACATTGGAACCTAATTCAAAATAAATGTATGTGTGCTGTTCTGATATTAAATACTTATATCAATTTAATCAGGTGGTGGAGAAAGATCGTCCAGAGGACATGGCGGTGGCAACCCGGTGTGCCCCCGCGAGACACCCAAATGGCAGAAACCGATCACAAACTTCTTCATCACCGGCAACTGTAGCAAAGATCCAGACGGTGTTGACAAAAATGCCTCACATGGTTCGGACGAGGAAGACACTGCAGGTTGTCAAATAATTCCTACTCTTTTTAATTAAAATTTTGTTACTCCATTCACAAATGGCAAGAGGCTTTTTATGAAACTAAAATTCCTGTTTTGTGCAGATTATGAAATAAACTAAAATTATAAATAATAATTCTTAGTACTTTGCTACTTTTCAAAAAAATTCAAAAAAGGAGGAGGGTCTGTATTTTTTTTTGTTTGTCACCTCAGAACTTATTGACTCCACACAACTCTTCCTTCGCAGAAAGCAGCAAGCCCAAACCGAAACGCAATGTAATTCTCTCCGACGACGAAGTGGACACAGAGGAGATACCGAAGAATAAGGAGTTGGACGAGTCAATCGTTCTGGAGCCGCTGACCGGTGAGAACAGCCACAAGATCGAGGAGTACTACCACAAGAACAATAAAGGCAAAGGCAAGGGGAAGAAATCCGGCAACAAGGAGAACATTAGTGAAAACGGCAAGAGCTTGAAGAGGGAGCTAGAAGATGACTGCGGAGAGACGGAAAATGCTAATAAGAAAATCAAAGTGACGTGAGCTGACCTAGTGATAATCGACATAGTAATTATATTACCAATATAAACTGCTGGCAGTGTAACAGAGGCTGTTGTTGTGACATGATATTGACGGACAAATCTGTGATGTACAAATTAAAACAACTTTCATTTTGCCGTTTTTTATTTGCTCTGAATTTTTATATTTATTAAAGTGTTCATGATGATTTAATTTATAACATCTTATTCCGTTTATATAACATTTTGGGCTTAAAATCGACTGTAAATCGTTTTTAACTTCAAACACTCACCATGGGTCGGGGGCTCGAATCCTAATTGCGTCCTAGCCAGCTGCTCCTCTGCTGGACAAAGGACATTCAATCCTCTTGCCCTTAGAACTAAGTGTCGATCCGCTGACTAGTAATGTTAGGAGGAATATAGTCAGTATTTTTGCAAAATATATTGACGGTGGTAGGGCCACGCTGTAGCCTCGGCTGTTGCACGAATGGGCAGGCTCGTCCGGGTAAGTACCACGACCTCACAGAAGACCGGCGTTAAGTGGAAATGTAATACTTTCTCGTTTCGTCTGATGAGTGAGATGGCCGGAGCTCAATTTTACAACATTTTCTGGACCATTTCTGTGATTTAACTTTCTTACGAATGGTACAATACACGCAAAAGCTCGGTTTCCAAAGCATTTCAGCTCGGCGTTATGTTACGGGTAAATGCTCACAGCGAGTGTGCATTTACCCGTGACTAAAATGTTAAACATAATATAAAACCAAAAATGAAAATATTGCATCTTCCCTATTCTGGTATGAATTTTCGGATAAAAATAAGAGATTATAGATGGGCGATACAAATCGTATCAGATATGAAAACTAGATATTAGTACAATATCCCAATATCGCTTACTGGCTCGTTCAATATCTATGTATTTTACAATATCTGATATTTCCGAAATCTGATGTACCGTGCTCGCTCGCTCGCTATACCGACACGAATCGCGATACGACGATATCATACGCGAGTGCCAAAATATCTGATTTTTTAAAACAGATTTCGAGAGACAAAGCGCGTGAGATACAAATACTCACTAGTTAGAGCGGGACGGCAAGCAATGCACGATATCAGATATCGAGCGACAAAGCGCGTGAGATATAAATACTTACTAGTTAGAGTGGGACGGCAAGCAATGCACGATATCAGATTTCGAGCGACAAAGCGCGTGAGATATAAACACTTACTAGTTAGAGTGTGGGACGGCAAGCAATGCACGATATCAGATTTTTAAACAGATATTATGAATAAGTTAAGTAATTTTGAATCTTAACACCATGCAAATAAGATCCGTTTCATTTAAATACTAATCTTGGTATCAGCGATTACTACAACGATATTATTATATTTTTATTGTTTTGTTTAGCCTTGAGCCGTAACGGGCGACAAAGCGCGCAGTTAAGTAATTTTGAATCTTAACAGCATGGAAAAAAACTCTGTTGCATTTAAATACGAATTACGGTATTAACGATGTCTTTGAAATTTTGTTCAGCCTTGAGCTGGATTGCATTGGTACTTAACACGTAATAGTAAGGGATGCCAACTTACTACTTAAGAATTTTCTGCCTAAATTAAGGAAGAAAAATATACAATGGAAATTTTTTAGGAGGTAAATTTTTTGTGAATATTTTTATTAGCTAAATGTTATTCATATTTTTGGAAAAAAATTAAAGTACACAAAAAGAAAAATATAATTTAATAGTGCAGTGCTGCTTTGGTGGAAATCAGACCAAGGCTTATGTGCATTGTGTGTATATTTTAAATTCTTCCGCCCTAAGCTATAATACTGAATGTATTATTTCTTACACAAATAATAAAAATATTGCCACTCGATTGCGTGTTCTAAAAATATGTTAAAGTCAATTATTAAGCGGTATATAAGATGTTAAAATAAATCATTTTTATATTACTTCAATTCATATTTTTTATGAAATTTTTAATTTAATAATTTAAAAAAACACGCATTTTTTTCGTAAGACAGGGTTAATTATTAATGATCGTCGAACAAGACTTTCGACGAATAAAGTCAGAGAGCTTACGTTCCTAAACGTGAATTTGAACCCGGAGAGATATAAATAATTATTAACCCTGACATAATTGTAATATATAATGTTAAGTTTTAAATATAAGGAAAATTATGTACATAGAATGAATCAACTTTTAAATACGCCTGCACAATTTTATATTTATAATAAGTATGAAATATTGCAGCCAGTCCTAAGCCTGGAAAAAGTATGAAGGGAAGTTATTTCATTCATCTTATATCCACTCCCTTAAAGTATACAATTTTTTTTTTTTTTTTTTTTTTTTTAGAATTCAATTAATGAACGTGGATAGGGATCCGTAAAATATCTAGATATTAAAATACATAGTTTCGAAATCTGATATTTGAAATCGATATCGGATTCAGATACGGTACTCAGAAAAAGCGATACGACCCATCCCTATAAGAGATCATCAGACGGCTAACGTGAACACGATTTCAATATTCATTGTCTAGATTTGTTTACTGGTAGTTTACTAACGATAGATATTTACACTACCTCTATAATACGTCAAGATTCTAACTTCAGTACAACGGTACGTTTTTGTGTGTGAAAGTGGCAAACGAGATGGCGGTTTGCCTGATGATGAATGATAACCACTGCCCATAGACATATGCAACACCCAAAAGGTTGCAAATGCGTTGCCACCTTTAAATAAAGTGGGCCCCGTCTACCTGACTCACCAGACGAAACGCAGAAGTGTAACACTTCTACTTTACGGTCTTCTGTGAGTTTGTGGTATTTACCCGGACGGACCTGCCCATTCGTACAACAGTGAACATAGTTGCGATGTTACAAACTACCTACAGAATATTGAAACTGGCCGTAGATAAATCGCGATAACATTTGTTTCGTAAGTGGTACATACACTACAAATTATACAACACTTAACCCCGTAGTGGGGAACTGTAATCCGCTTAGATTTCCTAAACCTCTCTCCTAAACCGCTTAGATTTCCTGAATGCTCACCTCCGTTATATTTTTTAGCTAATAATTCTGATTCTTACTTGTATCAGCATCTACAACTTGACTCAATTTCCGTAGTTAGTTTTTCTTATTCGTTTACTTAAATCTTAATCTTGGGTAAAAAATAATACTCTACAAGACTCCACATGATTATATATTTACAAAACCTTACACTATCATTACAGGTACTAATAAATAGTGCAGCAATCAACAACACAAAAAAAACTACCTATTAACTACACACTACTACAAATTAACAATGCAACCTTTTGAATTCACTCGGAGAACACAAGAATAAATGTACATCCCATAATGAATTTTATTTATTATTTTTAGTTAAATCTGCTTATTTCTATTCGACCCTCACCATAACCCCTCAGCAATTTATATTCCTTTTGAAAAAGAGGTCCAAGAATGGCATCCAATCTTGGAAAGGCCTCCTCCTAAAGATCATAAATACGCGCATTTCAAAATCCTTATAGGCCGACCGTGACCGCTGGGGTTTCTCAGGGTTCCTTTCTCGGGCCCTGGTTATTTTATTTACATATATAGAAATGATTACACATTGCTCAAAGCAGATGATGTGAAAACTATGTGTTCAGAATATGATTGTATAGACCCCTTGTATAAACCCCTTTAAGCTAGGTGTACAAGTAAATACTAATAATTGTATCCTTTGTAAGAAAACATTAGGTACTTTAACCCAAACTAATAATTGATATTAGGACGGGTTTAGGTGTAAGATGATATGCAAACCAACTGTAATGCACAGATTGAATAAGTTTAAGAAGTCACAGAATCTAGGATTTGATTAGCTTACTAATTCTGACTAACAGAACTCATATAAAGCACACGTGCGTCTGCCTATTCGTTGCCGCCATCGTATCCCCGGAGCAATTTCTTGTTCATTTCGAAGAAGAGGTCCAGGAAGGCCATCCGATCGTGGAAGGGTCTCCTCCTGAGGGTCAGGTCGCTGTCGATGCTCAAGTAGTTCAATTTTTCAGCGGTTGCGGGGGCCCATTTGACGGGCAGCAGATAGGACGTCTCCGGCGTTGGATCCCTGTGGAGGGCACGCGATTGAAAGTGAAACTTTCTTTGCTCCTTCTAGTACAAAAGAAATATTAAACGGTTCAAACGCAATTGAAAAATTTGTTGCGAGTTGTTAGGGGTTGAGATTTTTTTTTTGTGCGTAAAGGTAGCAAACGAGCTGGCGGTTCACCTAGTATTTAATGATGACCGCCGCCCATTGACATTTGGGACATTCCACGCGAAGTTGCTATTAAAATTTTTGAGGTTTGTAATATGATTAGGAATATAAACAAACAGATGACTTTTTGAATAAATAATTATATAAATTTAGGAAATAAGAGGTTTCATGTGTAATTAAAAAAAATAAAAAATTAAAGTGGTCCAACTTTGTGAAATTCAAGTTTGAAAAGTTTAAACATGATTTTTTCCAAAAAAATAATTTTTTTTAATATCCCAAAATGCAATTAAATTAAGCATACACTTGACTGCTTCATTTATTTCCATTTATCTTTTCAATACCGGATAATGGGATTCGAAGTAGCGCATACTTGCCGGTTAGTCTCTTTTTTAAAGCTCTCTAAATCGTAAACTACATTTTATACTGTAAAAATATTTTGTATCTGGATTGAGGACACATGTATGTATAACATAATCAAATATTACTATCGAATATAATAATAAAAAATCGAAAACATCAACTTTTCTTACCCGTCCGCTTCGCGTGGAATGCCCCATTTGTAACACCCGAAAGGTTTTCTTTTGGTAAATCATGTATTTTGGAAATAAAAAAAAGAAAATGATCTGGTATAGAAAAATAAGTGTGTAAATGATCGTGATACGAACCGCGGCCGCCTGTTTTCGGGCCGTCCGATTACCGATCGACCTATTATAAATTTTTTTTGCGGCGAAATTTGCCGTCATATTCGAATGATATTTTTCATTCCTTGATTTTTATTCCATATCTATTTCCATTTTTAATTGATAAAAGGACATTTTCTAAAAATGAAACCTAGCTAGATCGATTTTTCGCCTCCGAATCTACGCACATACTAAATTTCATGAAAAACGTCATATAGAGGATAACCTTTTAAAATTGTATTAAACATTTACATTCTTTAAACATCGATATTTACAGAGTTATTAAATTACGGTCGTAGGGCCACGCAGCAGCCTCGGCTGTTGCACGAATGGGCAGGCCCGTCCGGGTAAGTACCACGACCTCACAGAAGACCGGCGTAAAGTGGAAGTATGACAAATACTTTCGCGTTTCGTCTGGTGAGTGAGGTGGCCGGAGCCCAATTTTCAAAAGGTTGTCAACGCATCTGTAACCCTCGAGTGTAGCAGATGTCCATGGGCGGCGGTATTCACTTAACATCAGGTGAACCGTCTGCTCGTTTGACAACGTTTCGCATAAAAAAAAAAAAAATTTCCAAAACAAAGAATTTTAGAACACCCTTACGTATAAAACTGTAATGTAAAGTTTATTATTAAAGGTCACAAAGCATGTAATGCGACGCTGTGGCAACGAATGAAAAAGTCTCTGAATGTATGCATCAATCAGTTGTAGTTGTTTATGTGTTACAAATTTTGTTCCTTTTTTACGTTTGTTTGAAAAATATTTTTTTTTTAATTATGGATTTTGTTTAACGCTAATATTTTTTTTATGATTATTGGCAAGTAGCGTTGGACGTGTGTTCATTTATTGTCGCGATGGTAAAGACACGCTGTATATATACAAGAATTGCTCGTTTAAAGGATAAGAATTGAATTAAACGAATCAACACAAACGAACAATCACAGCAATCACTATTACCCATACTTCACGAAGTTCGTCCACATTGTCGTGACCCTGTCTATAACGAGCTGGTCCTCCTCCGAGGGGTTCTCCGAGAGCATTGACAAGTCGAACAGGTAACCCAACTCGTCAGCGTGGGCCGCGCCCTCATCTGTTATGTTGTGGACGGACTTGATGAAGTTCCTGTTGCCGGAATACGAGAAGAGGTAATGGTAGACCTTCCCTCCGTTCGCCAGATATTTCTGCACACTCCTGTGCGCCGGGTGATTGAAATAGATGTCCGACTCGAAATTCATAAGCTGTTGTTTCAGATCTACGCTTATATCCTCCTCGCCGATGTAAAACTGGCGCACAATCGTCTCCAGCTCCGAGTCCTCGCTCAGCTCGAATATTTGCGTCAAATGGTGGTGGAATACGTCCGAACCTCGGTAGCTTTCCTTCGGTTTGATTCCGTAGATCATCAGCATCTCGTCGCTGTTGTAACCGGCCAGTATCGGCGTGCTCCTCGCCTTCGGTGCCGCGCTGATGACCGGATGCTCCGCGATGAACCGCTCCACACCTCGAAACTTCTTCTCGACGCAAGGCAAGAAGTTCAACTTCAGCTGCAGCGATGCCGCTATGACCAACTCCGGTTTGACCGTCCCCAAAAAGGCCAGGGCGTCTTTAGTGTCGTCTGTCTCCAGCCCGAGATGGCCAGCGATCTTGATAGGCGTCTTGCCGTCACTCTCTTCTATCGCCCAAGGGCAGAGTGTTGTCCCGCTCGCCAGTATAGCTCTCTCGAATAGCTTCTCCTGCGATGATAATAGATGGTAATCGACAGAGGCGCTTCCAGCGCTCTCACCAAATATTGTCACCTTGTTGACATCACCGCCGAACGCATCTATGTTGTCTTTGACCCATCTCAAAGCGGTCAGTTGATCCTTCAGTCCTTGGTTGCCTGGCACCTCCGCCGTGTCCAGGCACATGAAACCGTACGGACCCACTCTATAGTTGAGGGTGACGAGGATGATGTCGTTCCTCACCAAGTATTTGGGCCCGTACAGAAAGCGACCGGCGTAGCCGATCTGAAATCCGCCCCCGTGGATCCAGACCAGCACTGGCAGGCGGGTTCTGGTGGTCGCCTTGTTGGGTACGTAGATGTTCAAGTGGAGACAGTCGAGTGATCCGACTATCGCCTTTGAAAACTCATCGATTTGCGGGCATATCGCGGTGTCATCGTAAGCCTCGAAAACTCCCTCGAAGTCTGGGTACGGGTGCGATGGCTGGAACGTAAATAAACAGGAACTTTAGTTACAGCGTCAGAAAAACAGGTGATTCTTCAGATCTTCTGTTTACACTCGGCTTCATTTAATTCCTGTGACACAACTTTGGATCCCGAATATCTTTCAAGTATTGTTTTTTTTCGCCTAAAGTGGTAGCTTTGGATAATTGCTTTTGATAATTGGACAAATATCAAAGAAGAAGAAAAGAATCAACTCCCAAATTTCTTGGAGGCCTCGAAGTACTCACCCCAAATGGATTACTATCATTGACCCTGGCGTAGGGAATGCCCAGGAACATGGCATAGTCTCCATCGGAAGCCTGTAAGCCTCTTATCAGGCCCTTCTTGGTGTCCACCAGCGGGTCCAATCTCGGTGAGCAGAGCGCCGCGCTGATAAACAGCATGTGGGTTAGGAAGTTCTTCATTCTCTTAACGGATGAACGGCAACACAAACTAATCCATTAGTTAGTCCTTTTTACGATCTTCTAATCACTTAAATAGTTGATAAGGGATTATGTTAAGTGGCAGTCACTTGAGCGATAGGACAATGCGCAATAAAGTAGCTATTAGGAAATAACTGTCTTTTACCCGACTGCGCCAGAAGGAGGGTTATGTTTATCGAGAGTATGTGTATAATTGTTTGGCACGCTCTGCAGCCTGAAGGGCTTGATGGATTTTAGCTTGAGAGGTGTCGTTAGATTCGTATTTACTGTGAGAGTAACACTGGGTATATCAAAATAAAAAATTACACAGAAACGCAGTCGGGGTTTTTAGTTTTTTTACTTATATTCTACTTGTTTATTCAGCGATTGCGTTTGAAAGTATATCAAAGTATTAGAGATTTCTTGAAAAGGTACCTGTAGATATAACAGATTAATTCAAGTAGAAACGAATGAATTGAGATTTCAAATTTTGTCTTGTTATTTGATACTTTATAGATACCTGGGGGCCGCAATGCTCTGACCGAGAAGTGCGAGATGATTTGATATAAGAATTAAAAGAAATCTTCTGTTAAAGCAAATAATAATAAATAAAAAACTTGGAGTGAACAAACATATAGTAGATTTTTTATATTTAAAGAAGCCAGAAACAAATAAAATTAAATCAAAATACTGGCCAAGTTCGAGTCGGACTAGGCGCCCGTAGGTTTTCGTAAATCTATAAAACCCTTTGGGTACAGAACCCTAAAAATACACGTTTATATGTATTTATATAGATTCGCTTATCTGAATTTATTAGCTCGTATATCACATTTAACAAACAACAATCCTTTGTACATCGCGGGACACGCAAACTCAATAAAACTGAAAATAACGTCAACTTTAAATATTACCCCGAAGAGTTTTAAGGTTCCTTTGTAAAGTGTGATTTATTTAATCTCTTTTAATAACTACAATTATTTCGTATACAGAACCTTTTCAAACTGAATTCGGAGACCACTTAAATAGGTAATTATCTTTGTACAAACACTGATAAACATATAACATTGAAAAGCAAAGATATATCTATCAGAAACCTTTGATTTAACCTTGTTTGATAACTGAACTAAATTATAACACAGTTTGTCTGTTTTCGTATCTGTTATTACTGTTTTAGGGTTCCGTACCCAAAGGGTAAAACGGGACCCTACTACTAAGTCCTATTACTCCGCTGTCTGTCTGTCATCAGGCTATATCTCATGAACCGTGGTAGTTAGACAGTTGAAATATTCACAGATGATGTATTTCTATTGCCGCTATAACAACGATTACTACGCTATAACAACTATAGATAGATGATGATGATATAATACGGAACACTTCTTGCGTGAGTCCGACTCGCACTTGGCCGATTTTTAGGTTTTTACAATATAGGTGTAAAAAGACGCTCCACAGGACAAATAAAGGCTATGTGAGAACGTGAAAAGATTGTCGTACCCGACAAGTCCTTTTAAAGATGTTGAATAAAGTTTTTTATTTCTTATAATGCATGGCCTTATAGCTCGTATCTGTGCAACATTTAACATCCGTTTATTCTATTAGGTAAATAATCTCGCAAACTGAATAGCATTACTTTTTATAGTCCGTCCGAATTATGGACACATTTATATATTTTTGGAATTGGAAAAAATTGGAAAAGAAAAATAAAGTATTATCACAATTTATAATAAAAAAATTCTGTGACGTCATCGTGGCAATCCTGTTAATATAAAGTGTTACAAACATGTAAAATGATAAATTTATGAAAGATGTAGCGGAATGGGTGACAAAATATATTTATTAGACTTAAAGTATTGTATCGGATTCGTGAATATCTGACGGTGGATATGCGCATCAGGTTGTGTGAAACCCTTATCTTATCAAAACTATCTTACGCTGACACAGTTTTCGGTGAATGTTTGTATACAAGGACGCAAAAGATAATCCAAAGGATACAAAATGCCTGCGCACGTTTTTGTTTTCCCATCCCAAGGCGCTCACACGTTACTCCCTTCCTAAACCGTCACGACCTGATGAACATGTCCACCCGAAGAACACTTCATCTCGCCTCGCTGCTTTTTGGAGTTGTGAAAACCAAAGAACCGGACTACTTATTCAAAAAGCTTAAATTTTCTCAGCGCTCCGTTAGAACGGCGCCTCGGCTTGTTTACCCATCGTCTCGAACAGCTGTTTTTCGAGGTAGTTTCCGGTTCGCTGCTACAAGTGCTGGAATGATATCCCTCCCCCCATAAGAAATTTAGTGTCTATTAATTCCTTCAAAGCTAAATTAAAAACATTTCTGATATCAATGCAAAAATCCGGCACTTGAAACCCTAGAGTTTATTTCCAAATAACAATACAATACAATACAATACAATTCCAAAACTTACATTACCACTTACAAATCATTTACAAAAATTACCACACACACATACACATACAAACAGGCGCTAAATGCAATTGTTGTTATTTATATTAATAATTTATTTTTGTTTAATTATAAGTATATGTTATTATTGTTGTTAAAGTCGTCATCTATCAATCTCTCCAGGCTCCACTGAAAATCAGTAATCGCAAAATTTTTTCTCTTTTTTGCGATGTAATGCTGAGTGGTGACCTTTTTGGTACATTGACTTCAAGCTATGATCTCTAAATTTTAATTGTTATTTTTATTTTGTTTTTATTTTATGTTTTGTTTGTTATGTACCAAATAAATATTTTTTTCTTTCTTTCTTAATACTAGCAGAGCCCCGCGACTTCGCGTGGAATTTAAAATAAAATTTCAAAAATAAAAATAGCCAAGGTACTCCTAATTAAGTCAGCTATCTGCCAGTGAGTCCCGTCAAAATCGGACCAGCCGTTTCAGAAACTAGCAGGAACAAACAGAAAGACAAAAATTGTAAAAAATGTTATTTTGCTGTATATATATATATATATATATATATATACAGGGTGGCTTTTCTAAGTGTATCCATTTTTTTTATTAGATTCTAGACATAAATTATGTTATATAAAAATGTGTTTCGGCTTAAAACTGAACGCATTACGACGCAGTGTACGCTGATTGGTCTATGTTTGTTAGGTCATATTCGCAACAATTGTCAAATTTCATATTCAAAACTTACCGCAACTGTAATAGTCGTTATTTAAAATTATATGCTTAAAATCTGCGCAGGATCTTTCATTTTTGCAAAAATATCAAGCGCTAACATAAAGTTTGGTCCTTCTGAGCCAATTATACAAGCAGAGACGACCTACGGAAAATCGAAGACTCAAGAATCGCAATTGAGCAGTTAAGGGTTCTGGTCTGGAAGCCATCCGAAACAGAAGACGCATATTTCGGTACGGTCAACCCATCCACGAACCATCAGTCCTTTATTTTGCTTGTGTAATATTGTGCTTTTAAATTTCATTTCTATTTTTGTGCTAAACCACCGCGCCCGCCGCACTAACCCGGCGCAAACGCATAACGACTTTGCTTACGTAAGTACTCCCTGTTCTCATTTTCCTCCAAAATGGCAAATCGTGATAAATCCCCAGTTAGGGCTTAGCGATGACAAATTAGACTCATTAGTTCGCGAACTAACTAAAAAACGTGGCACTCTAAAAGGTAGATTGACTAAATTCGGTAATTATTTAAACAATTTTGATGTACATGGCGCAAATTCTCAAAACAAAATAGATTTAAAACTACGCATTGAAGGTGTCACGAATATTTACCGCGAGTCCAATAGCATTCAGTCTAGAATAGAAGAATGTGTCAGTGAGTCTGATCTCGATGATCAATTGACACATAGGGAGCAGTTCGAGGACTGCTATTACAATACACTGTCACAAGCTGAGTTGTTGTTGAGTAGAAGTGGTAGCAATGGTAGTGAGGTCACAACTTGTTCTAAAACATGTGCAAATAGTCAACTACACTCTATTAAACTTCCCGTCATAACTTTAAATACCTTTGATGGCTCGTACGAATCCTGGCTATCATTCAGAGACTCATTTCAATCATTGGTAAACGACTCGAATGAAATAACCAATATACAAAAATTCCACTACCTCAAGTCTTCACTAAAAGATAGTGCCGCACTGGTTATAGACTCACTGGAATTCACATCAGATAATTATCCAATCGCATGGGAACTTTTACTCAATCGATATAATAATAGCAGACTATTAGTGCACAATCACGTTAAAACTATATTTAATATTCAAGCATTGAGTAAAGAGTCCTCTGCCTCGCTTCGAAACCTTAGTGACAAAATTCTTAAAAATCTACGTGCATTAAAGATTCTAGGTGAGCCTGTAGACTTCTGGGATACACTAATTATATATATCGTTGTCTCTAAGCTAACAAATAATAGTGATTCTAAATCACAGTTAAAACTTGACGATTTACTTAACTTCCTTAAAAATCGAGCGGATATGTTAGAAACATTGCAAGTTTCACACAATTCACGAAACAATAAGGAAATAAAGGCAGTTCAAAACAACGCGAAGCCATCCGCGGGTTATCACTCAAAGTGCAATGTTTCTACCACAAAACCGTACAAACGCCCGTCCGTCGCGCCTAGGAAATGTCTTCAGTGTAACGAAAGCCATCACTTGTATGCGTGTTCAAAGTTTATTAACTCTGATTGAGAATCTAAACTGAAACTTCTTCGCGATAACAACTTGTGTATGAATTGCATGAAAAGTAGTAACCACACAGCCGAGTTTTGTAAATTTGGAGGGTGTCGTGTATGTTCCATGAAGCATAATTCGCTAATTCACCCTGCGAACGAGTTAAATCATTCCCCGTCGAACACAACAGCTGACACTCGCGGTTCCTTAGCTATGCACTCGTCATTCATTGTGAGCCAGCAAAGTCAACTGAGCGAGCGCGCGGACGCAGGTCTCCCGTCGACCCCCGCCGCGCTCCCCCTTCCTACAGATGCGTTGGTCAGCCGTGCAAATAATGAACATTTAAATAA